GGTTGGGGTTATTTTATGGGAATAGCTGGTTAAATTTAGGCATTAATAGGTAATTTGTAATATTTACTTCCGCTTCCGTCCCGATTCCGTATATGATCTAGTGCTGACCAGTCTTCTTTACACATATCCATCCCCCTTGATGATGACAGCCAATCACCGCCCGTGTTGCTCACACACTGAAACCTCTCAGCCAATCACGGAGGCGGAGGTTGGTGCCTACCCGGTACTCACGTTCGCCGAGACCCGTCTGTCAACAGGGAGTAAGGTATATGCTATTTTTAAACTGTATTAAGCTTTAATGCCAATATTCATTTAGTCTGGAGGTGTTTTCACATGCGGAAAAGTGCACTTCGTGGTTTCAGCGATGTATTTTCTTTTGCACGACTGTACATCTGGCTTGTTTGTCTTCCTAAATGCATTGCTAGTCACAATACACAAGTCATACTGGATTTAACCCAAACACGGGGAATAACCAAACGCTTTTTAAGGTCCATACATGATTTTATCCTATGATCCTATTTGTGTGCAATCTGTAGGGTCAGGATATCACAGTATTTGTTAGAAAAGATTGTAGTAATTTTCTGTTATTCATTTATTGTCACTTTTAACAGAACTACAATGAAAACCTTACTATTGTTGTACTGCTGCTGAACATAACATAACCTACAGCATATATGTTTCCTATTTGTTTCTGCAAAAAACATCAAGTTCGCCTAATTCTGGAATAACTAACTTTGAAACCACAAAGAAGAAGTGGTTCTTTCACTAGTTTCGCCTTTTTTGGCCTCTGTCACATCTTTGGATCAGCTTTTTGAGTTGAATAACAGCTGTATTTAATATCTACACAGGACGATTTCTGTAGGGACAAACAAAATGTATTTATGAGGTAAAGCGGAAAGTAAGGTTATGTATTCCAGCTTTAAAGTGGTAAGTATCTTAATCTAGGATCCAAACATTATGACTTGATTTAGACAATGGAATAAGCAACAAGGGATTGCCTTGTTATAGTTTAATTATATAGTTTAATGTGTAAAAAGCTGTTTCATCCTGAAATTAGAATCGCATTGACATTTGCTCTACTGGTTAAACTGATTTAATGATATTTAACGTTACAATTTATTTATAACACAATTGTATTATTATTGCTGTATGTGTTTATACAGCATGTGTAAATGAAGGGCAGTGTTTGGTGAATGAGGCATAAACAACATAACAGTGTCATGATTTTTATTCTAAATTAGTATTGCAACCTGAACAATCCTGGTTCTCCCTACTACTGTGTGGGGGTTTGGGGCTGTCATTGTGCCTGTGGGGCTGGGCTGGTGCATAGATGCTTAGCAGATGTCAATAGGTGCATTGTGAGCGGACAGTGGTGAGAGCCGGCCGGACCGTGATCCGTGTACTGAACCCTGGATAACCCCATGGCCCTTTAACCTCACTGCCCTGTAGTCTAGTGTAGTATAAGTGTGCAACCTCTTTGTTTTCATAAAAATGACTCGTACACAGTCGGGCAAAAAAGTATGGAGTCAGCAAACAATTGTGCAAGTTCTCTCACTTAAAAAGATGAAAGATGGCTGTATTTGTCATTGTTGGTACCTCAACCATGAGAGACAAAATGAAGGGGAAAAAATCCAGATAATCACTTTTTTAAACAATTTCTTTGCAAATTCTGTTGGAAAATAAGTATTTAGTCAATAACAAAAGTCAATTTTAATACTTTGTCATATCCTTTGTTGGCAATGACAGAGCTTAAACGTTTTCTTTAAGTCTTCACAAGGTTATCATACACTGTTGCTGGTATTTTTGGCACATGCCTCCACAATTCATCTGCAATGTCCATGCTGGTGGAGAGAAGGTTTTCACTAAATATCTCACAATACATGGCCCCTTTGATTCTTCGGATTTGATTCAGATCAATCTTCCTGATTTTCTGGATTTTTTAATATTTCATTTTGTCTCATAGTTGAGGTAAACCAATAATGAAAATACAAGCATCTCTCATCTTAAGTGGGAGGACTTGCACAATTGGCGGCTGACTCTACTTTTTTGCCCTACTGTATCCCTGTATAATGTCTTATCTTTGTCATTTCTTCAGGCGTGTTGCAAAAGCAGAGTATTGCAATGATTACTGTTTACCTTGTACATAACAGCGCTCTGTAATTAAGAAAAGCTATTAATGGAATTTCACTTAATGCATTTATCAGTTGGTGTAATCTCTTATCTCGCTTTTATATTGAAATGGCTTTTTGTTCAGCTTCAGAGTCTGCTCTATTTGACGACATCAAGATAAAGTTTTCTTTTCTGCTTAAGCTTAGTGTTACAAAAATATAAAAAGCGCAGTTATGTTTTTCTGAGTAAAATAATTCAATGACAGATTCATAGGAAGACAAAAAATCCAATGCACTCGGAATAAGTAAAACCTGCTTTCAGGGGAACACAAAAGTGTATTCAGCGATTTTGTAGTTGAGGCCTTTTGAATTATTTCTAAGAAAACAAATGAGTGGCTTTGTTTGTCTGTCAAAGTATCCAGGCATTTAAGGTTTTACTCAGAAAGACGTTTCCTTGAAATTACGCATTGGCCCAGTCTCCATTTGAGAACTTAGTTTTTAAGATTTACAAAACTTTATAAACTGAAATATTTGCTCTATAAATAAATATTTTATATTTTAACAAGGTTAACATGTGTAGCTTCGTCACAATAATCACTATATCCATTTTTTGTTCAATAATCGAATACACAGTAAATTTTCAGCCTCAATATTTTCAGTACATTTGTATTGCAAAAATTTAAAGATTTTTATCTCATCATCCTGTTATCTGCATCAACGGCATGGAAGCAATATTGTATATAGAATGTGTTATTGTGACAGGCCTTTTAACATGGACACGGTTTAATTTGATCAAGAACATCCTCCACTGATTCATAAACTGGTATAAATGAAGAGGAGTAAACTGCTGGACTGCTCCAAGGTCAATCAACGTTGTCATCATTAATACGAGCTCTTCTAATCATAGCCGAGTGATAACCTGAGCTAATGAATTAGTCATAACTTCATCCAACTCCTCCAGTAAGAAATATGACATTAGCAAAAGCAGGTGAACCGTGAAACCCTGTGGAGTTTGTACAATCGGAATGAACTTGAAAAACATACAGTATTTCCCGTCGCTGGTGCCATGGGATATTGTGATACTAGCATCTGTAGTGCGGCCCCTCCAACCATCACCAGTCACTCACTCACATGCCACATTTGCACATGACATTGTGTGTGAAGTGTCGTGTTCCGCAAGGACACGGCTTCACCGAGCTGATATCAAAACCCTCATTACCTAAACGTGACTGACATACAGGATTTGTGTCCCCAGGTACAAAGTAAACATGTTCCCTTCAAATGCCGCTTTTTTCTGATGACAATTATAATGTTGATTTATTCTTGTTTTGACTCTAGTATTGTCCTCAAGGTACTTTGGTTTTCCCTGTCGGCCTTGAAGCGTGCACAATAGGCAAATCCTCCAACTAAGGTTATTCTTTGTTTCCCCGAGATCTAGACACGACTCGCTGGGATGGGTCTGATGGTACCTTACCTTCTTTCACCTTTAGTCATAGTCATGCCTCTGAAGCTGCTATCAGGTGTATCTCGGATGGAAACATTAAGGCCGGTCCCCAGGAATGTTTTTTGAGATACACAGAATACAAATGGTGGAAATGAGTCAACTCGAGTGAAGCAAAAAAGCCTTGTATTCGTATTCAAAAGTCATTCTCTTCTTATATGCTCACCCAGTCTCCTGCACACCGCTATTCACCCTGTCTGAAAAGGAAATGGTTTGGCGTTTAAAGATCATTTATGAAAATTCATAAATTCAATGCTGATGATTAGGCCAATACACATTTCCAAACCACAGTGATGACGTTACTATGCTCTATTTTGGACAATAAAGGCTGCAGTATATTGTACAGCACATACAGTGGGCGTTGTGCTTTTGTGCCTCTGCCCTCAATATTTCTAGAGGACCGATCATCACAGCCCTCACAGTCTCTGGCTTTTCCTGACCCTGAGTGATGGACAGCTGAAAAATATGTTGTGCCCAAGAGCTTACATGACTACAGAAGTCTAAATTGGCCTGAAAAAAAGAAAGGCACCCTATATGGGTTGTGTGTGGCCAAGTGGACAAGTACTCAAGAGACACTCAACTTCCTAAAAAAGGGACTCTTTTTAGGAAGTTTATTTGTTGTGCACAGTTCATACACAAAGCCACTCGCAGTTTTTAACAAAACAAGAAAATATTTGGAACTCATACAAGGTATTACAATCATAAATACTCACAGTACATTAGTGAAGACACTTGTATGCACAGCTAAACAGAACTGGATTTAACCTGGATTTGAACATTGTCAGAGTAGAAACCTGTCTCACATTTTCAGGAAGACTTCCAGATTTGAAAATATATTGCATATATTGGAAATGCTGCCTCCCCATGTTTTGTCCTGACTCTTGTCACCGGTAGAAGACCAGTCCCTGTGCTCCTCAAGTCAGACTTGGCATATGGCACTAACATGTCACTGAGCAGAGCAGCTTTAAAGTCTATTCTCTGAGCCACAGAAGTCAGTGCAGAGACCTGAGAACTGGACTGATGTGATGTACTTCCTGGTTCTAGTCAGGACTCAGACTGCAGTTTTTTGATATACCGTTTCAGAGCTTGTTTGGAGAGCCCAGTGAGCAGGCATTACAGTACCAGCAAAAAAGTGGGCCTTGACATCACTCAAATAATGTTTAGACACTGGTCTCCAAGACCAGCTGTAAAAAAACAAGAGCAGCAGTGATAAAGAACACTTCTTTCTTCCTCTGACTGTTGTCTTTGCCCTTGTGTCTTACTCAGGAAGGGCTCTGCACCGCACCATAGCTCTGTTCAGGCTGACCCGCTGCTGTGCCCTGCTCAGGACCTACACCGCGCTCCCTGTGGCCCACCGCTGCTTCCCCAGACTTCCCCTTCCGCTCTACAACATGCCCCAGAGCAAGTCAAGAACTCCCCCCTCGGCGGAGTGCTCAGGTCAGACCCATGCTGAACCCATGGAGCCCGCACAGAGAGAGCCGCCCGAGGGAGCCGAGGACGAGCCCAACGTGGGGGACAGCGAGATCGTCAAGTCTCCCAGCGACCCCAAACAGTACAGGTAAGGGAAGTCTGCACAGTACTTGCTTAAAGCTGCACTAACTGACTTTGAGAAATGTTTGAATCAGAACGCTGCAGCTTGCTCTCTCTGCTCGCCCTCCCCGCACGGAGTGGAGGATAGAGATAACATAATAGCCATTTATTTTTGTAAAAAACCAAACAATGAGGTTTGGTTTTAGGGGCGACAGTAGCTCAGTTGGTAGAGCATTGGCCTTCAGGCCTGAAGGTCGTGGGTTCATTTCCCACCTCTACACCTTCTCCACCGACTCCCACTGATGACTGCTGTCGTTGTGTCCTTGGGCAAGACACTTAACCCCACTTTGCCCAAAGCCCCCGCCGAAAGATCAAGGCTATGCTCCCACTTACAGAGCAGCCGTCCTCCTGTGGACTCACCACCTGCAGAGGGTCAGTGAGGGGCTGGTGCTATGAGACTTGGGTGGCATCTCTGACTGCCACCCCCCTGACCCAGAAATGGATTAAAGGGTAGAAAATGGATGGATGGATGGACCAAACAATTAAACAAAATAAATGTTACTGCAACAGCAAAAAAAAAAAAAAAAAAAAAATCTGCAATTTCTCTTCCTAAGTGCAAGATATTTAATTGTTGCTGCAAATTGTATTCTTTCCTCTTTTACTCTCTGAAGTGGTATTGAGAGTTTGGGTAGCCTTCTGGTATGAGCAGCACTTTGTTTTGACCCAAATCCACTTTATTTGTATAGCTTTTTTTTCTTTTATAAACAAGGCATGATGGGGACATGCTGTAAAGTCTGAGGTAGTGCTCAAAACACCACTGCAGTTTTTAACTAAGACGGTGGACTCGTTGGACTTATTTTAAGTCATTTGTAGCCCAGATTACTGCTCTAAACAGATCAAGATTTTGAACAGCTCATTTATTCCCTGCAGTAAATAGTTGTCAGCACATATCTAGTTTGCACTTAGCAGATACCAGAGACCACACACTTTGGAAATGGGGACAGAGGGAAATGGAACACTTAACATTTTAAAAAGGAGTCGAGTCGGTATGATGTTTTTATCCAAAGAAACCTTTTCGGTTTTAAAGAGACAGTGTGTAAGTTTTTTGTTTTAAATTCTATCTATACATTTTATGTATGTCCCCTGATGCATTGTCAAATGTAAACATTATATTTGACCTTTTCTGATCAGAAACAAGGCCATGATGACCATAGTATTACCCTGCCAGGATTTGCGAGTTCATTTGTTTAAAGTATAACTCTAATGGTGGATTTAAACAAAGTCATTCATGGGAGAAAGAACAAATGATTTGATTTTGGAAATGATTTGTACCACCTTCCAGATCCAATATTTTTTAAGTAGTGCAAAACATGGGTTACTACCTAAACATCAGCAGCACTAATACAAGCTGGAGGAGTGTGTGTGCTTCACACACGAGATTATCTTTGTAAGTATTAAGTATTTGTTGTACTTTCTTGGATCATAATTTTATTATTTATCATACTAAACATTTGGACATTTAAATTTGAGCTAATGAAGACAAAACAGACTTATTATTATTCTTTATACTGTATGTACGATAGAAGCATGATTATTAATGAGTTAGTTAGTCCCACAGTACTTCGCGGCTCACACTGGTACAGGTTCATTTCTAAAGGACTTGGGATTTCTTCTTCTGCACCTGAGAGTTTATCTTCAGGTCTAATGGACCTCGTACTTTGAGATCGCAGGATGTCTACACTCTCACTGCATCAGGACCAAAAGGGGAAATGTCTTTTCAGTATCTCGCTCCAACAGACTGGAACTTCTTACAGAAAACTATTAGACTCCAAAGTCTTGTACCAAAAGAACATTTTGGCACCCTCCTGAAAGGTCTGCGAAAGCCATTAGAGACCTGGCGATGAGTGAAGATAATCATTTCTAATTTATATAATAAATAAATTGTGTTGTAATGTGTGCATTATAAAATAATCAAGAAATTCTTATATCCTAAACTTTAAAAATTGTGAATAAATTGTCTATGTTTGACAAACATTTTTTGAAAAAAACGGCACAGGGACTGGCCTCTGGCTTGTTCCCAGGGTCAGGACTACACATGGGGAGCTGACGTTTCAGGTTCTGGAAGTCTCCCAGTGTCTGGCAGGTCGGGACTGGCAATGTTTAAATCAAGATAAACGACAGTCCTGTTCTGCTTATGACTGATTTTTTTTAAATAAATGTATAGATTTGAATATTTTAAGGATTTCTTTGACTGCTTCTGTTTTTAATCGTTCTTGTAAAGTTTACAAGATCCGTGTTGTGTACGGATTTTGCTATATATACATAAATACACTGGCTGGTTAAAGTTTAAGTGAAAATTATTGGCCACTGATAATTTTCAGCTGGTAATTGTAAAACAT